GGACTCCACACCTTTTTGGGCTAGTGGTGCTGAAATAGAATTTCCCGCTGCCTGGAGTGTTTTTTTTAGCTCCAGATTTCAGCAGCCATCTCCCAGCAGCAGTTTTATCAAAGTAACCAGACAGGAATCTTTTACTCACGGCAAATTCTGTCAGTTTAGAATAACCCCTTCATTTTAAAGGCAGTAACTTTACCCATTCCAGCTGCACTTGGGCAGCCAGAGCAAACACCTTAACCATCAAGGACAGGGAAGGCAAGGGGTGACAGGGCCTGTTCATCCCTCCTGCAGCTTGCAGCTGCATTTCCACAGGCTGTCACCCCATGGCAATTTCACCTGTCGTGCTCTGCATACACACATGCACAGCCAAGACTGTTGCATTACCAACCTATCTCTTCAGTAGGACACAAAATCATGGGACAGTTCTGCTGTTTGACTTCATATCACTACCTGCAGAAAGCTGTTTGTAGGATTTTAGCTCTGGTTTGTAGGGCACACTGCTGTCTACTAGTACAAAGCCCTTACAACCCCGTTCCTAAGTAGGGCACCCAGTTACTACTCATCTAAATAGGTTTGTATGTTAAGACCACTGAGATTTTTCAGCGTGGTTTTGGTGAAGGCATAGACCTAGATCCACAAAACTACACAGGACCCTAACTCCCACTGCCTTCAAATACAGCGAGGGAGCAAATATATTTTTGCCTAGTTTTGGTTATCCAGCCTCGACCCTGTGTTGCACACTGCTCAGGGTGGTATAAGCCTGGGTCTTCCAGAAAATCTGAGGCGGTAGGACATGGGCTCTTTTTATGTATCAGGCAAAGCAGGAGATGAGAGGCATCCTCATCTCTTCAGGTTGTAGATTACAGCAAACATCAGCTTTGCGGCGGCAGCACTTTCTAAATGGGTGGGAATGGCGAATAGGAACCCTCCACAGACAACACCCAATAATACTTTTTTTCTCCCTCCAGCTTCTGTGCCTTCAAAAACACAGCCTCTATCTCTGGACACCTACAGCAGCTGTGGTTGCTTTGCACGCATACATGCCAAACACCCCAATTCTTAAACCCGCAATTATTTAGCAAAAATAAAAACAGTGACAACCGCTCAAAGAGAAAACCAGGTGGTCGTTGAATCCCCAATATGTTCAGCATTTCTAGTCTGGCTAAACAGAGCTGCAGCTTGAGCCAGCAGAGCAGTAGCCTATGCCCAGCCCCTGTATGGAGGCACAGTATGTCCCCCGCCCTTCAACAGACAGGCAAAGCAGTGAGTTAAGCAGCAGTGGAAATGACAGCAGATAATAACGTGATCAAACACTGGGAATACTTTCAAATCCATGAAGTCATTTGCAGGACTACTTTGCGCAACAGCAACAACTTCTCCCCTCCCGCTGTCACTTAAATCAAGTAAGTGGCTCCACTGACCTGACCAGCTGTGTCACAGAGCTGAAGTCTCACCGGCTTGCCATCCACAGACACAACAGCTTTTGGAGAGAAAAGACGGAGGGGGGAAAGCTATGGTGAATTCAACTTTACATGTTTTCCGTTAAAGAAAAAAAATTTAAAAGTAACATTTACCATCCCTCAGGTTTTATAGCCTTTTCTTCAATTATTCTAGATTTAACAACTTAGCAGAGCTGGAAGGGAGTCCGTCGCTAACACACGGGCACACACAAGCCCTTCAGGGCTTTCCGATTCACTTTACTACGCGAGATGAGTTAGGCAGAGAGGGCACAAGTCCACCGCAGGCAGCGCGGGGAGCGAGCCCGGCAGTCTGGGATATTCTTCTGCTACAGAGGTTTAGCTTTACTTCCTCCTATACATTCAGCACGCCGAGGACACGAAAAGCCCCCGCTGAATCGCAGAGAAACCCCTGGACTTCCCCCTTTGTAAGGGCAAGACAAGACGAGTATTTAAACCTGCCCTTTAGGCGCATCCGATGTCCCCGAGAGCGCTAAGCTTTCCACCGGAGGGTTCTCAATTAAAGCCCGGCTCTGGCCGCGCATGACACCCGCTGCCAGCCCGGCTCCGTTACACCGGACACCGGCCGGTGCTGCTGGCTGCGATGGCAGCCTGACAAGCTCGGTCCTGCTTCGTAGAGTCCTGCTCCCCATAAATACATCACGAAATCACCGAACCTGGACAACATCGCGTCCTCTCCGCGCAGCCCAGCCACGGCCTCGGGAGCGGCACGGGCGGGACGCGCCGCTCCCCAGGACGGCAGAACCCCCTCCCGCCGCCCCGGTGGTGGCCGCTGCCCCGGTCACTTACCGGAGAAGTTGTCGAAGGCGGTGGGGATGTACTCGGTGGGGTACCCGTT